TCCCACAACCCAGTCTGCACATAAAATCATCAATTCAATCAGAAATAACCACATTATAAAAATATATTACTGTTCAAAAGACTATACAATGTGTAGTGTCTTTAAAAGTCAGTTGTAAACAACCCCAATAAATTTCTTCATACATATACACATAAATACACTTTTGTTGATACCATAAAAAATGACCAGACCACTGACATGGCATGACATGACACTACTTTATTATTTTTTATTATTATTATTAGCCTTTATTGTCCYGCAGAGCGGAAATTAATTCTCTTCATTTTACCCATYGCACATGTGAACACACATGTGGAGCAGTGGGCTGCCAATTACAGCGCCCGGGGAGCAGCTGAAGGGTTAAGGGCCTTGCTCAAGGGCCCAAAGTGGGGCTGGTTGGTTCGGGGACTTCAGTTATAACTCAGTTATTCCTGGTTGCGCAGTGTCAATATCACTATCATGATCAAACAGATACCACTTGACCATTTCCCCTCCCAAAACAGAAAGACAAAGCTAAAATGTGGGAAATCTTTATCAGGCGTTGATATCGGCCCAGTTTTACATTCCGGACAGATATTCTAAAACCTGACCAACATGGGCTGATACCGATGTTAATGCTGATATATTATGCATCGCTATTTGCGATGACTTAAAAATATTAGCTTAAACCAAAGCACCTAATTCACAACCACAGCAACCATAAACATGTATAAATGTGTAAATTCACCTTGTAATTTAAGACTTGCATATGCATACAAAGTATTTCTTATACTTSAAATACTTCTAGTAAATACTGGAAAAAGCTTAAACAAAATAAAATCTACTGGCTCATATAATCTTRCTGACCATACACTACACAGTTCTTTATAGTATTCAGATCTTTTGTCACTTTTCAAACACAGACATCTGTATCTGACTTAAAAAATTCTATAAAATTTGGTGACCGTGCAATAAGACAGATAATGGTAGAAAACAAGCCAATGAAACCACTTTGGCTGAACTTCAAGGTCCATTGTCATCAAACTTGGAATATAATGAGCTCCACAGAAAACCCAGGAGGGCTCCACTATAGGCAGTAAAGCAAAAAAAGGTCAGACAGAAAATGACCAAAATACACGTTGACAAGCCCCAAAGTTTCTAGGACTCTTAAGACAAAACTGGAGCTTTTTATTAAACTTATACTGCACAGATGTAAAAGGTTAAGTCCAAACCAATTAAACACATCAAACGGAACATATTGTGTAACACAAGTGTGTATTAATACACGTCAACAACCACAGTACTTTTATAGATGCCAGTGATGTGTATAGTAAAGCTGGGTGGGGTAATTAACAGACATGTAGGGTATTCTTACAGCGAAGTGGGCCAGAGGCACAATGAATGATCCCTGGAGTAAACACACACAGTTCTCCGTCTTCAGGTACATATATTTAATTTGCTGAATAAAACAGATGTAAATATTTTAGTCTGTATTCTGTCTTGCTGTGGTCACAATAAAACATTTGCTCTTGATAAAAAGCATGGAGCCAGTTTAAGCCGATCAGTGATTCTGTGATGGTTTGAATTTTCTGTTTCTTCAACTGTCTGCTCTCTTTTTTTTTTCTTTTTTTCTCGTTGGGGGAAATTCGATAGGGGGCCTTCATAAATCACTGCGTAAGTGTTTCCAGATGATAATGTCTCACCAAAAAAAAAAAAAAAAAAGAAAAAATCTCAAAAAGATTTTCTGCAGCCTGACTCAAACATCACACAGCACTCATGCTGGCGTTAGGAAGCTGTAAGAAACATTTTACTGTGGATCCAAGAAGTTTTTTGTGCAACATGGGAGAGAAACGATGTGCTTTACTGAAAGCCAGTAACAACATCGTGCTTTAAGGCCATCAATAAGAGAGTTGTGCTTAAACTACGGAGGAGGCGACGGCAGCAGCAGAGGGGAAAGGTATTTCAGGAGGGGCAGCAGTTATAGTCAGACCAACATGAATGTGAACACAAGACTTTCTGGTCACTATGGAGACCTTCATACAAGAAAGGAGATTGTTCTTTGTCCCACGCAGGCTGCAGTGTGACGAATTCCATTTTAACTGGTCGAAGTGAGGCTGTAGCTTCTGTCCAGTTATTCCAGTAACTAAGCAGCTGGTTTTAAAGTGCCAAGGAGATTCTAGGTCGTTTTTGACCTTTGCTTTGGCACGGTGTTGAAAACAGAGCCTCTTACTTTACCAACCAACTTTGCACATTAAGCAGAACAGTCCAGATCTTATAGGAAAAGAAACATGTTCGTAAAAGGTAAACAACTGTTTTTACTTGACGTCCTATGACCTGCTGTCTTTCATGTCAGAGTTATAAACTAAGAAATGTCGCAGTTTTAATCTAAAATTTGTGATATTTTCAAGGTTTGATTAAAACCGCGACATTTCTTAGTTTATATATATAAA